CACACCCTGGCCTACGTACTCGCCGACCAAGAGGCGACTTTCCGGCGGTAAAACTCCCACTACACCTGCGGCAACAAAATAAAAAAAGCTACAAAGCCGACCGAGATGGGAGACCGCGCTAAACAAATAACGTAACCGGATCGTCCCCTCACTAGAGCTCATTAAAAATTAAGGAAAAAAACAAAAATCACAAGCAATATATATATACTACGCGAAGAAATAGCGAAGGGATAATATCGCCCGGAGCCCCACTAGCCAAATCTTTATGGGGAAACTTGGAATTGATAGTTTCCTGTTTACTGTTTTCGGGCTATTTAAAATTGTTTGCACGCATAGATACGAAATAATGAACTGGCTTCACAGCACTTTATCGAGGCCCATTTGTGTAGGTATCACGCGTAGGCACGATGCAAGGAGCTAGGGTCATTCCGTGCTATTCTAAGCATCGATTCGATCATCAAAACTGTATCAAGAACATAGTGTTATTTACTGAATAATTCATTTGTTATTAGTATATCTGAACACGCAATGGATCACGTAATAGGTGGGGGGAAAGTCAATTTCAAAGCCCGGCCTAGTTTGATCATAAATTTATGTATCCTTTATTAAAGTTCGACTTATTTTAATGATTGTTCTAACGTTAGATGGGTCTAGTTTAATTATAAAGTACACGTTGGTAGCCACACGATAACATAATCTTACAGTATGCGTTACAGTATTTCAAGCTTATTCATTATGACTAGTTTAGAGGATGGCGATAGGGACGGTCGCACACACAGCGATTAAAATTCCAATATTAAACTTATAGTTACAGTAACAATTTTGTTATGCTAATTTAAAATTTATCAGTAAAGAAATAAGGAAGAACTCTTTTGATTTTTCGTTAAAATATAAATTTATTGCGAGGTGTTGTGACAAAGCAATACATTTCGTTATAAAAATCGAAAATCTTCTAAGGAACACATATACTGTATTCCCGATTTGGTTAAACCGATACTAGGATTTACTGAATCGCTTCATTTAACAATAACACGATGGATATTGCATTAAATAGTTGCATCCAAAAATATGTAACAATAACAATAATTATATATCAATAACATTATCATTTAAGCAGTATAAATATAAAATGTAATAGTCAATTAACTTCAAAATAAAAATTAAATATATTACAATTATTAGCAAATATTTTAATTAGTTAATAAAATAACACTTTTCAAGCTCGTAGTGTTTGTTTTTTTTTATTGTTACAAAGAATATAAATGATATATCAACGATCTAAACTAATTCTATGAAATCGTAATGATTCTAAGCGAAAATAAAATCTAAACATTTGATAGTACACATCCTCTAAACTTAGTAATTTCAAAATTAATTTCTAACACACTAATAGTGCTTATCTATTTGAAATATTATTTAAGATTATCTGATTTTATTTAGCATTAAAAACTTCTTTCAAAATATGTTACTGATCGAACACAACGTATGATTTAGCGGTAAAGAGAAATATTATATTTTGTCGCCTTTTTTTACTTTTGGTTCGAAGCTCGAGGTATGGGGTTGTGATTCAAGTCACTGTTTACGTCATTATGACAAGTAAGGATATGGCACCCATGAATTATTTAGCGACTATCGCTACATAGAAGGAAACATGTCGCGTTCCGTTTGACGCATGTTAATTTATTTAATGCTTTAATTATACGCCTTTTATTTTCTCACGACTGGTGCTTTAATGTTAGAAATGGATATATTTTTTACATTTGAAATTTTCAAAGGGGCAATCTTTATTAATTAATAATATTAATAAAAGGAAATATTTTATTGTTCGCATTGAATAGACTTTAAGACCGGACCAATTTTAAAAATGTTTTTACCAACAAGAGGCGGTAAAGCGACGTAAACTATAAAATACGCGGGCGCAGCTGCAGGATACAGCTAGTTATTTTATTCAGTAGCCACAACACAAATGCTATTCAACTTTAAATGTGAGCATTGTATGTGATATCCTAATATTCATTAACTCGTTAAATATAATATAACTATAATTAACGAGTTAATAAATGTTAATACAATTATAAACTGCAAATAGAGTTATTATCTATTACTTGCAAAAGTAACTCCTAAGTTACTTACCTATAAGCACATTATAAAACATTAAAGTTTTCATTTTAGTTTTATAAAATTGATAGAGTTTGCGATCTGTCAATAATCTAACACTGTACTCAGTACTTTTTAATCTAACAAACAATGATTGATGACAAACTAGAGTCAAAAGAGCTCTAAAATTAGTATGATGAATTAAAAAACATTATTTTTGTTTGACATGAGTGACACTGATTTATTTCTGCAAATAAAAAGCTAAATTAATTAAAACTTTCTTTGATAATACTGGTCATTATTTTTTTTTTAATTTCAAGGTACAGAGAGCGGGAAGAGGGTTCGTTTTATACTATCTATAGATTATTGTTAAGGCTGTTTGATTAAGAAAAAACATAACAATCAGTTCACGATTATTGTTGTGAAGAGGTAATAATAAAATTGGATGTATCACATGAATAATTAGTAATATTTTATCACCATATAGTCGTGAATTATTCAACCGGCTTTATTATCATATCGACGCAAAATTTGCTAGGTATAGCGTGAAGATAAATCTCATACATTTTAATGAAAACCTACAAATCACACCGCTGTGTTCGATCTCTCCTATGCCTATTGGAATCCAAAATCTATCCTACTATATCCTGCTATGTAGAGAAATTCTACTTTCTGATAAATACACTGATGCTACCAAATAACTACATTCTACAACACGATAAACATGTTTTATTCTAGTATAATAGATAGGAAGAAGTTAAAATATACCCTATTAAAAACTACCAAAAATTTCGGTCTAGCCTAATTTTTATTATTAAGACCTATTAAGCCTGCTAAATTGATTCAATTGTTTTTCCTGATGTTTTTCAATACCCACGAAACATACCGAATCACTTAGAATTTATGTTTTAATATGCTTGCAAATATTTTTATTGTATTTTCAGCGGTTCCGAATTTCAATTAAATATATTCTGTAATAAAACGTTTTAAATTGCCTCGAAAACGAGGAGTTGTGTATAATTTAATTCCGTTCCATCAGATACCAACAAAGTTGTTTATATATCGACGTTGGAAACTGTCTTCTAGTAGTCTCAAGTTGGAGACTACTCCATATTAAACGCTTGCGGCGAACTTGCGGCTCGTAGATGCACTTGTCTGTGGCCATCTGCTGCGTCAAAGGACTCACCGCTCGCCGTAATAAAATGAAATTAAAAGCGCGTGACGTCTACCGTTACACACCCCTTATTAATATTCTCGTCGTGAAATTTAATTAACCGCTTCCAACCGGACGTATTATGTTATAAATTATGGCAGATTAGATATCGGCGTCGTAGATGATGTTACCAATATGCGGGTAGAGGCGCCGGCTGAGGAATGCTAATGGGGAATAGGCACACATTAATTGTGGCTGGGCAGCTGGCACGCACGTTGCGTTCTTGCTGCAGGACATTGTATTTTGAGGACAACGGATTTTCGCATCCAAAACTTTGTACTAGTCTGTGTAACCAGATTTAATATACAACCTCGTTGCCGTTAATACTACTTTTTGCATTTTAGTTATGGCGTGATAAATATCGAGACTATAACTGAGATAGAAAAAAAACGATTACTTTCAAATTTATTCACATTCATCATTTAGAGAAATGCACAGTGCGCGCAAATCGTTGTTCACAATAACATTAGAAATATCAGAGTTGCGTGTAAAACGATCAAACGAAAGCAATTAACGTAGAACAGTTTATACGACTAATACCAAAGAAAAACTTGACCGAATTCGGTCACTGGCTCCATCACGATAGCGTGAATCGTATTTGGCGAACACCAAAAAAGACGACTCCATTTTACGTCTCGTTCAGTCAATTAGAATTTGGAATGCCGCTCTAGATTTAGGTTGTGTAGGACCGAAAAATTTAGTAAGACCTGTGGCCCAGCTACAAAAAGTAGAAAGACAAAGCTTAGTGGCGTAATTATGGTCGAGCGGCGGCTCAAACACGGAGTGTGGACAAATAACGAGAAGAGTATTTGAGCAGCTGCGCCCAGCGCACCTCTCCCTCCCACTCCTACCTCTCTAAGGTTAGTTCCTCACGGGAGAATGCAATAAACTAACCTCCGAGGAATAATAAAGGCCTCTCAAAAATTAACATTCCAGTCTCATTCGACGGGATCGACCAAGAGCCTTCGGTAGGTCCTACTTTTAATTAGTGAAAATACTTTTCCGTCCCTCCCGAGATTTACATAGAAGTCACCACAAAAAAGGCGTCATATTTTTTTCTGTACTTTTGTTTGAATCTGTTTAAATCTCTTTTAAAAGCTTTCTTTTCTTAATGAGGTGTGGGTGATGGTGCGGTACTATCGGGCGGGTGGAGGCACACTGTTTGCGCTAGAGTGTTTGCCTGACGCGTAACATTTGAGAATCGTTAGGGCGAATCGTCTGCAAACATAGAGCGAGGCGCTCGCAATTGGCCGGATTGTCTCGACAAAATTCTGGAGATAAACAATAAGTAGCATTTTCCAAAACATGGACGTTTCGTAATTGACAGTGTGGAAGATTTCTCTTGATGGTTCAGTCATTCAATTATGTTAACTTGTTTGAAAAGTTGTTAGTGAGTTACCACAAACTTTTGTCACGGTGCAAGTTAGTAGAAGAGGTTAGTTAGTACATAGTGACCACAGATGTACAGCGCATGTAGATTGATGAGTGGCGTGTAAGTAGGAAGCAGTCAAGTGATATAGTCGCGATTGTTAGCGGTTACTGGAATGCATTGTCGCGACTCGAGCTCACAGATGCATGGCGTGTACATTGTAAACCCCGCTTAGTTCGAGCGGATGATACGGTAAGAGTGTTGCCAAGTGATGGTAGTGATTGCCGGACAGTTGGTGGTGCAAGCTCGCCAGGGGATTACCTGCTGGGTAGGGCAGCCCGAAGCTAGGATAGCCCGAATAGCTACGTCCTGCCGCGTAGGCGGCATACGCGGCGGGAAAACCTGTCAACAAATGAACACAGTTGAATCGTCAGTATTTACTGCCCAGCAATGATGAGAAGCGGAGGTTAATTGACTGATCGCATGCTTATACAAAATAGTTGAATATAACTTCTAATACTGGATCGGTAACCGAAATTAACTTTCGGCATGTAACAAGTGTCCCGGTGGCCCGATTCTAAAATAGAGGCGTTGGACGGAATGTAGGCAAATATAGCGAGTGAGCTCGCTAGTTCGATATCGCTTTGGATTATGTCCAGCGTATTGTCCATTTTTGTTCACTATAAAACGGCTTTGTATTTATAAGAGATACCTATCGTGTTTCAATAAAAAAAAACTTACTAAATTACCAAACAAACAACTACACTATATTAAAACATGACATTAGACCAACAAGCTGAAACGAATAGTACACGAACACATTTTACTTTAAAACGAGTAATGTAAAAAGTAATTAGCACTATCAGTTTCGTTAACAAAAAGGAGTATGTTATAAAATGTAAAATGAATAATGGCCGGACGTCCACATCGGCTGATATGATTACTATGCCGGATCGTTTATCATATTATTGCCAATCAAAATAGTGTATCTGTCTGGCCACGTGATCCATCATACGGCAGATGGACCGTTACACTGTTAATTAAATGTAACGACATCTAGCAACAATTAAGTGAGTTAGCTAGTTGTGATTAATGCCACGATCCGTTTTACCCCCACTTAGAACTTAAGTAAACAACGTTCACTGGTCGATAGCAGAACGTGAGAGAGATGATCGGACAGATGCAAGAGAAGAGGAATGGCTGTGACTTTAAAAAAAAATGTGGATCAACTTACCGTCAGGAAGAGCACCCAATGACCACATGAAATCTAGAAATGTAAAAACATTTACATAAATCCAACGTTCCTTACACCTTACATTTTATATATGTGTGTCTTTTAGTATTATAAGAATAATAAATGTGCCATGAGACACTATTTTGCTTGGCGAGTGAATTTTATATTACACAAATATGGAATATATTATTTATATTATATATACTTAGTGTTTATAAATAAGAGCATCCAATATTATCTAAATATGACTAACATCAATTCTGTCTCTATTGTGATATTGTGGGGTATGTTAGTACATCCTTCATATCAGATAATACGTTCTGTTCAATTGTTAATCTATTCTACACATTGTTAGTCTAATACTAAACATGTTAAACAAACAGACGTTTTTTAATATTTTAGAAATGATATTTATTAATCTAAATACTACCGAAAAATGCCTACTTAAGTTATTACAATTAATTCTATTAGTTAACGATAACTATTTTAGATAAATACAACTTGGATGTATGATGAACTTTACTGTTAATCAAACAGTTCCAGTTAATTACGATGTATCGGGAAATATACAACTAAAGTAATGCTAATTTTAAACATAAATGTTTTGGTCCTAATTTGGCAATGCAATAATAATAAATAAATAATATGTAAAGAGTAAGGATTCAAATAAAATTTTTAATTACTTATCTTTAAGTGACTAAGAACACACATATCAAATAAATAAATTAAGTACCAACACTAATTCTTACAATACATTTTTTAATAAATTAAAATTAGAAAACATCAACAGTGACTACAGTTTCACATAACCATTATAACATCCAAAGATAATAGGTACCTCTTTTCATCCACTGATAAGATTTTGTGAAAAGCCGTCATCAACTGTAATTCTATTCATGGTAAAAAAACTAAGTAAGATAAAGGCAATTATGAAAATATTTATGCGAAATTTCACCAAGTTTTTATAATAAAACATGTAACAAGACCCTTGCTAATCGGTATAGTTTCATTATGGATGGATATGTAGAAAACTGGCAAGAATCAACAGAGCTTTCAGGCTCTCTTTTATATTTAATAGCTACTTAAAATCATAGAATCACCAGGCTCGGTTCTATTACTTTTCTATCTATTTGATAAACAAATCGCAATAAGCACCTACTACCTGGTAGAAAAATATCAATATCTATCAACCCTACTTAAAATTGATCCAGCTTCATCTGTCTACTGTTTATTAATATTAAAATATTATGTAAATCATTTTATAAGAAGTGATATGGCTATGGCTTTTCTATAAATTTTCGTACACATTTCGAAAATATGCTAACTAACTGACTTCTCTAATGGCATTACTAAAAATAAGACACTTTGGATATTATCAGTTCCCTTATGGTACGCTTCTAGTATTGTCGTCGCGGATGGAAGGAGAAGAGAATAGGAATGTAAGAGAGAGGAGGACAGTTTAGGGTGGCTTAAGGAATGCTATGGAAGTAAAAGTTGGTTTATACAGCCTCTATAGGCTTAAAATGGATGGTGTGGATGCTGTTGGAAAAGAATCGCGGATCAGAGCGGTAAAGGTGTCGGTAGTGTATGGGTGATCGGAGAGTATAGAGTTGGGATGTCGAGTGCGTGTGCACCGAGTAGTTCTGAAACGGAGTAGGTGAGAGGGGGGAGTGCGAGTGGAGTGAGAGTGGGACGAGGGGGTCGAGGTGCGGGGCGGAGGGTGGCGAGGGCCCTGCGGTAGGCCGCGTGCGCGCTCCCACCCGACCCCGTGACTAGGAGCTGCGCCTGCGCAGGGACAGGATAGGGGGCGTACCGGACGCCGCCGCCTGCTGCCACTGCGCTACCAAGCAACTCACCGTACGCGCCGCGTCCGGCGGCTCTCGTCTTTGCCAAATTTGCTGGTAACATTACTTCTTTAGGCTGTGCTTTTTTGCATTCCACCTGAAACAAAAGAAACGTAATGTCATTATTGTGGTAAAAATAATGTACTATATTTTGTTGTCATTGATATTTCACTGACTTTTCAACATATCCATGAATAATTAACGTAAGTTGGACCTGTACAGCGTAACGTTTATCTTGTTAATATTGTAATACCTATTCATGTAGAGTTTGCAAAGTAATTATCAAAATCTACTTAGCTAAAACTTTATATTTCAACTTTTAAGAATGTAAATAGTTTGTTCACAAAATTAGGTCGAAGATGAAGTCAACGGGCTATAATAATAATAATTGTCATCCTTTATTTCACATAATGTTATTCTTTCAAATCTAATAAAGTCTCAAGGATTGAACAAATACTCCTGCCTTCTCGAGATAGAGTGAGTCAAGAAATTATGGAAGAAGGGGAGTGACGGAATCAGATGACAATCCGTTATGCTTCACGGTTCGAATAACAAATTGAATTTTAATTTGCTCCGCCAAGTCAAAGAGCTTATCATTAAAATATTTATTATACAGCAACTCAAATTTTACGAGCAGCCAAGTAATTACTAAGGACAAGTTGTCACGTTTTGTATCGCAGCCAATTTTAAGGACATTTCTTTTTTCATTATTCTAATTATTCATCTACGGTTAATTAGAACTATTTTTAATATTATCGAAAATAATACAAATGCATATCAGACTCGCATACAAAGAATTCTGTAGCAATACATCATATTTAACATTATTTGATTTGTAATGTGTTTGGTATATTTGGTTACTTAGATACTACAGATAGATAGACGCCCAGGCAAATAGCATATGTATATTAATTGCTTTTGAGTATAGCATAACAGTTTTTAACAATCGTACAAATCATATTGTGTAGTAGTTTTATAAATATATACAAATCTGAAATTAATAATACGATTATATATGATTCGGGTTTTTTAAAATAACAGCGAAAGTTTAGTGAAAAAGTATCATATTTCATATTAAAAAAATCTTTCCATATCTTTATCACTTTAGACTGAGTATAAAATAGTTACGAATTTCCTTCTACTTTAAAAATTCAAATGGGATTTAGGGATTTATACTAATTAAATAAAATCAAGCCATTTAATCGATTCATTAAGTAATTTTGACGAAGACTATGGCCCCATTTAGTACTGTACCCCTCCCTTAAGCGGGTGGGCAGGAGGCAAGTATAAATTACCCAATCTACGCTAACCCAAACCTCTAGCAATAGGATTTTCGCTACCAAGTAGCATCGTTACAGAAAAGTACGTAGGCTTAAATTAAATTCGGTGGATAGATCACTTTAAATTTACTCTCGAATTTTATTTAGTATTTAGGATTTTCTTTAATAATATGCATGATTAAATCAATTGTTACTTGGAAAAGAATAAGGTTAGGTAAGGTACCTATGAAATTGGCAATTGTAAAATTTTTCAATACTCATGAGATAAAACTTTTTTTGTAAATAAATTATTATTACAGTCCACTCTAAGTTGCGCGACAGTTATGACGGGTTCGGTGCTTGTTGTTGGTTGCTAAAGGAAAGGCTGACTAAGCTTAATAAGTTGGTATATTTATAGTCTTAATAAAAAACTGTAACAACAAACAAAGAATTAAAAAAACAGTTCATACGGATTTCTAAAAATATCATAAGTAGGTTAAACAATTACATGCCCTTTTTCTGGGTTTTATTTTATATGTCACACATTAGTAGACATTTTACGTTTATTATAATATACGTTTACATGTTTCTTTACTACTGATTTAAATGATTAAATTTAGATAATAATAATGTTTTCGCCCGATGAAATACAGAAAGAGCATATCGCGTTACTCAAAATTTCAAATTACGTAAAATGAATAATAAGAACAGAAATAATGTTCAAGATTTAGACAAAAAGTTTGGATGCGGAAACCTAGGACAAAATAAGTAAACGACTCACCGTTACAATACTATGAAACATGCAATGACATGCAATATAATAATATTGTTTATATTATGAATGTTACAATATTTTCATAGTTACGCTTTATTTTTTTGAAAAAGAAGAAAAAGAGAAAAGTAAATATACCTAAATTACATAGTGTTAAGAAAAAGAAAACAATTTCACAGGTAATATTGAATATCTCTCTGCCAAATTTTGAACCTTTAGTCAGATCAAAGTTTCCAGGAAGGTTTTTCATTGTGGCGCATAATCGCAAAGTGTCCTCGAGTATAAAGTTGCGTCCACATTTGTCACGCGGCCGTCACGAGCCGACAAATGAAGGCTTTGCCACGGCGTTCACATACTTTGTGCACTTTGCACAACTTTCTGCGGCGACATGGAACTACGTGCTTTTGCATTAACGTGGGGAGAGAGTGCGCGGGGCTTTACACTGTTGAGTGTCTTTGCAGCAACTTTTGTGTGATGTGAAGGTTGAATAATCAACATGTAAAATAAGTCGAGAGTTATGACTGTACATAATGAAGGTATACACTTTAGTAAATAAAACAATCTTGCAAAAACTTCTAGAAAACAACATGCAGTTTTGTATCCAAATATCAGTACATTCGCTAACTTTACAAATACAGAGCGAAGTTAAATCGATCTGTAACATAAACGCTAGTCTTTGATCGTTCACGACATAAAAATAGTGAGTGTCGCCATTTGTCAGGTCCGATAAAGCTTTACAAATGAACCAGCGCCTACGCCAGCGACCGCCAGAACCGTGGGCACCCCCCATTTGTTCGGCAACACGCAACCAAGGGGATACGCCAGAATAAATGCTCGCCTGTTTTAAAACTAAGATAGCGCGACATCGAAATATGTTAAAATTCCCCTTCGCTATCATACTTTGGCATTCAATGAAGAATTTCCGCAGAAATACGTAAACAAAGACTATTCTAAGCAATGCTCAGTAGTGGAAAATGATTCCATTTTAAATCTACCTACAAATAATAGCGAGGGCCATGAAGAAAATTCAGTCGGTGGGGATCCGACGTTAATTGATGTCGCGTCGCTGGCGAGCGGAGTGGGAAACAAAAGCTCACAAACAATTCGCATCGGAGTTCGCAATCCCGATCGAGCGTTCGAGATCGCAACGCAGTTTAATGACACGAAAAATAACAAAGGTAAATTGTATTTAGCCCCGGATAGGCAGGCGCGCCCTCTGCCGATATATCGATCCTATCAAGTACTATTCGATGCCGAAGCTCGAATTGAAGACTCAGTTTAACCGAGCGAACTTCAGGTTTGCGCCAGTGCGCACCGTCTTAATACCAAACTCCATATACGACCGAACTCGTTCCTAATCCCATCGATGTATGAAGAATTTAATTGTTTCGCGAGGAAACACCACGTTTTATGCTCCAACACTCCGTTGAACATTCGCACGTAAAGGTGAATTAATACGAATCTGAAAGCAGTCATTAAATTTACGCTCGATTGATTTTGAGTGAAAACCTTTTAAGGTAAAACAGTAATGTCATTAAATTCAAAGCCAAATTCTGCTTACTGTTAAAGAACATTGATTATGTAATCACTCCGAAACTCGTGGAGTTTCTTAAATTCTTCGTTTTAATGTAAAGCATCATTGAGGTACCTATTGTGTTTGTTTTCATTTTCGTTAGTGTTTTGGGCGTTTCAGAATTATTATTTCCGGCACAATCGGGGTTAAGTTTATGTTTTTTTAATCCACCTTTACGGACCTTCAAAGAAACATAAAAAGTGTCGAAATAAGAAATATGAAATAAAACGGTCTAGTATATTATTCGTAATAAAAGCCGTTGCATTTAAGTCTACACAGCTGGGCGTTGATTTATTAATTTGGGCGGTTCATGGTTATATTATATTGCGGGTGTGTGCCAATAGACTATGGCCGCATTAGGTTGATTTACAATGTTTAAAGCAAATACCGTTGATAATGTTAAGACTAAAATGTGTGTTGTTGGGTGTTACAGCGATTCTCACCACATGCCACAGCTGAGCGCTAAGATTTCCGAGATGCAGAAAGTTTGGCGTTAGTGGACCTCATTCGAAATTCCTTCGCAGTTTGGCTCGGTGTAAGAAAATAAAGCAACTTCTTAAGAGTGCATGCTCACCGAAGCATTTCGCATGTATGTTGACGTTAACTGCATTTTATAAGATTATGCGTTTTCTCTTAGTAGTGGAATTTCTGTTTCCTTCGAAAATTCTTGCGGTGGACTATGGGCAGACAGCCAAATAGACAACTTTATAAAAGGATAAACGATCATGGCTTGTTTTATGTGAATATAAATTCGAGTTGTGAAGAAATGAGTTTTTGATGTATAACAAAGATCATAGACAATATACTTATAATATGATGTCTATTGTATGATAATATGGGAGTGAAAATGGAGCTGATAATTTATAGGAGAATTACTCCCATATAAATGTGATTTAAAGCACCGATAAAAGGTCAAAAAGCACAAGCTGGCAACTTTGTGCGAGAACGACGCTGTGCGGGCATAGCGTATGAACATACGTGAGAGATAAACGCAGACAACAGGGGGAAGGGTTAGGGGCGAGGGAGGGGCGCACGCTAGATAAGTTTATCAGGGAAACCTCTCGCCTTCGTATTGACAGAGCGTCGCAAGCCAGGGCTGATTGCCGCTAAACGGAAGCCCGAGCGTGGGAACCGGAGGCTAGTAAGAGCTTTGGAAATACCTACAGATAAAAAAATATACGGTTCGTAACTTCGTCGTCGACAAACTTTATGTTCTACGTAAAGCGGATTTGTTATACGGTTATTCGAAACAAATTCACATGACGACCCTGACCTTATCAAATCTGATCTATTTCTTGTTTCTTAAATTGTTGTATTTAAAGATTTTAATCGTGTAAAAAACGTTTGTTGAGAATTGAAGAGAGAGCTTGCTCGCGTTAAGAGCTTGCACGAAATTAGATAAGCGTAAGGCAAAAAACCCTATTGCGAGAGTACAACGTTACGTAAAGGAGATGAGTCACAAATCTTGCGTTCAACAGGTCACGGATAATGAA